CTGAAGGCAGCTGAATAGGTCAGGGGTGGCCAACTTGTGGCACATGTACCACAAGTGACACGGGCAGTCTCTCAGCATAGCACACAGCGAAGAGCCAGGCAGCACAGCAGCAGATAGGGCAGGGAGTAGAAAACTGAGCAGCAGATCAGTCAGAGGAAGGGGATGAGTGGCATTGGATTAGAGCTAATTTGTGGTACACCTGCCAAGAAGGTTGGAATAGATCAATAGGGATCTACAAGGCAGTTAACCCATTGAGGGACAGGGAAGAGATTCACCTTATGGAGCAACTAAATCAAAAGATTCATCAACTTTTGTGAGCCCAAGCTCATTTCATCAGATGCTGTGAAGGCTTATACATCTCTGATTTAGTTACATCTCTACCCTGCCTTCTGCCTGACTTCAGAGTAACACAGCTAACTCTTCCTACTAAGGGGTTATAAAAGATAGTTCACATAATTGGATACAAAATCATAGTCCCTCTGAGACCATACTTTACACAATCCAGTCTGTGACTTATTTCTTGTACAACCTATCCATGATAAAGTGCATTTAACTTTTAAATTTTTAGCACATAAAAGGGATCTCTGTCTGTCATTACCCCCTCCCATCCCATTTGTATTATTTATAGTAGCAATACTAACCTTCTGGTTCCTAGCAGTTAACAATCGGCTAGGATATGGGTCTGGGAGAAAGCAAAGGGCCCTCAGCATCTCCAGCTGTGTCAGTGCCTGCCAGAAATGCACCCCCCTCCCCCCTACCATTCATTATCCCATGATCCAATACTTTATTTAATAGTCCATTTATTTTCTAAAATCTGTTTTCACAGTCAAGGAATTTCAACATGTATGCTCAAGGCTGAAAATAACAGGAAAAATGTCAATCAGCTGTTAGTAAAGGCTTTCAGACTGCGTGAACAGAAAGGATGTTATGAATGTTTCATTTGCACCTGTTTCTGAGTCTCCGTTTAGTAAATGCAATGTTTGCAGAGTTCCAGCTAAACTGGTCTGTTCTGATCTGTCTTACATGCTATTTTTTCACCTTTCACCTAAAGGCAGGTCCATGCTCAGGAACACATCTACAGCAAACAGGAGAAATAGTTACTTAAGTTGACTGTTACTTCTGGGCATAAGAGTAGACAGTATAGTACATCAGGTTCTCTTTTTGCAGGGTGCCTAGAAGACCTTGCTTTAGAAAAAAAAAAAAGAAAAGAAAAGAAAAAGATCAACTATGGTAGTGCCTTAGTGAGAAACTCTCCAATGTCCTTGATGATCTTGACACACTGGCTCACTCGGACAGCCTCAAGAAGGACATCCATGAGGTGTGCAAAGAACTCTCTAAGCTTCTCCATAAAGAAACACCAGGACTGGTTCAATGACAGTGGCAGGGAAATTCAAGCTCTCATTGACAGGAAAAGGAGACTTCAAAGCCAGGATGAATGGCATCAGCTTCAAACAGAAGCAAAGCATTTATCACCACATTAAAAACCAAGACCAAGAGAAAAATATGAGTGTGAAAGAACAAGTGGTGGGAAGACGAAGTGAAAGAGATTCAAAGGTTTCCTGACAGCCACAACACGTGTAATTTTCTCCAGCACAACAAAAGCTATATATGGGCCAAGCACACAAGGAGCCATCCCTCTGAGGTCCCACCACTCTTTAAGGACAGCTCCACTATCGTCACCGAGTGGAAGGAGCACTTTCAAGAATTCGTGAACCAAAATTCTAATGTTGAACACAAAACCAATGAAGCCATTCCACAACACCCCACTACTAGGTGACTTGTACTTTCACCCATTAATGGGGTGTTGTGAAATGGTTTCAGTGGTATTGTCTTCAACATCAGAATCTCAGTTGTGGAGCTCTTGAAAGATCTGCCAACTTACCAAAAAGGCCTATTAAGCTGATGAAGAACAACAAAGCACGTGGTCATGATGGAATACCAGCTGAAATGTATAAGCACAGTGGATAAAAGCTCTCAGCAGCGACACACCATAATTATGAAAATCTGGAAACACAAACAGATTCACAGTGACTTGAGAGATGCCAGAATCATAACCATACACAGGTAAGACCACAGAAATTACCATGGTACTGCACTCCTGCCCTCACCTGTATTCTCCTCAGTGGACTCATTTTCCTCACTGAAAAGATCTATCCAAGTCCCAGTGTGGTTTCAGACCACTCAGATACAACAGACATGATCTTTGTGGCATTTCTTCTGCAGCTGTCCAGCAAGAAACATCACTGAGATCTTTACATGCCTTTCGCTGAACTGACTACAGGCTTTGCCCTATGAAAGATCCTGATGAGATCTGGATGTCCATCAAAATGTGTTAACATCAGATTTCTTCATAACAACATGACAGCAACAGGCCTAAGCAGTGGCTTGGAAATGGACCCTTCACTAATAGAACTGGAGTCAAGCAAAGATGTGCAATTGTACCAACACTGTTTTCCAGCTGTATCACAGCTATTCTGTATCTCATTGCTGATACGCTTCCATCTGGAGTCAGCACCCAGCATCACATAGACAGGAATCTCTTTAACATCAACCGGTTATGTTCCAAGTACAAAATAACTAACTCTCCCATTACTGATCTTCAACACACTAACAATCGTGTCGTGTGTGCCCACTCAACTGAAGCTTATCTTGCTGGGATCCTATGATTCCTGCCGACTTCCTGCCCCTCGGGCAGGGGGCTGGACTCGATGATCCTCTGGGGTCCCTTCCAGCCCAAATGTCTATGAAATCTATGAAGTCGCTTTTAATTGCTTCTGCGACGTACATGGAATGCTTGGACTCGATATCAACCTCACAAAAACCAAGATACTTTAGCAACCCACACCAAACCAGCCAGCTGTTCCTCTGCATATTACAATTAGAGGGCAGTGCTTAGAGAATGTTGAGCATTTCCCCTCTTTGGGTAGCCACATTTTTCAAGAAGTAAACATAGATAATTATATTCAACACTGGATAAAATCTGCTAGTGCTATGATTTGGGAGACATCCAAAAGGTGTCTTTGATAATTATGAAATCATGACCCAAACAAAATTCTTGTTTGGTTGTAGTTATTTCTAACCTATTGTACAGGTGTAAAACTTGGATGACATAGGAAACACCTGAAAGCTTTGAAATATCAGTAGTGATGTCTTCAAAAGATCCTCCATATCAGTTAGAAGGACAGGAGAATGAATGCACAAGCATTCTGGCTCAAGCAAACACTACAAGCATTGCAACCGTGTTTATATAGCACCAGCTCTGTTGAACAGGATACGTCATAATGATGCCTGACAAATCAGCTCCCAAATCAAATCCTATACTCCCAACTCACTTATGGTCACAGGTCTAGAGCAGGTCTAGGTCTTATTTTATGGGCAAAATAAGAGCTATCTTATAGACCAGTCTGAAAAAATACGATATTAAACACCAAGACCTGAGAGACATGGGGTGCTGACGGATATGCACTCCCTGCTGTAACTCATGGAGCTTTGCAGGAAGCACCATGAATTACAGCAATTCCCCAGACCCACAGATGTTTGCTGTTCCCCTGCAGTTTTGGTGCCATCTTCAGAATAGGGGTGCGGGGGTGGGGGGAAGGGAGAGGGAGTTTGGTCTGGGGTTTGCCCAGCCTGTGCTGAAGGGTCGGGTGGGTGGATTGGAGTTCCCTGTACTAAGGGTTCAGTGCCCTCAATCACAAACATCCCCACTGGTGCCATGATGTATGACAAGGCATCAATCATAATGAGCAAGACGCCTCTTGCTATGGAGGTGGACAGGTGAGACAAAGCGAAAGAGTTGTGACCTGACATCACCAGGGTCTAGTCCTTTCTCCCAGAACAGTTTGCCATGTCTTCAGTTGAATATGTGGATCTCAAAATCGGCCTCTTCAATCATCTCCAGACTCTCCAATGACTTCCTATTTACTGGTAACCTCTCAGGCTTGTAGCAAGGGTTGATTATTTTATTATACATTAGTAAGCTTCTACCCAATTATACTCCAGAAAAATCACAATTAGGTACCTAAACCTGGGAGGTAACGAGAAGCCTACATGTTCAATCATTTTACTCGTGCAACAGATGCAAACACAAAGAAGCTGTTTTCATGCAAACCATGAAACAAGAAGGCTTTTTTTAACTTGCTCTTAAGCATGTTTTCACTGTACTAAAGTTTAGTTAAAACAAAAACTACTTTGAAGTCAAACACATAATAAGCTTGCAAACTTGATAATAGGAGGGTCTTTTATTTCAATACTGTGCAATTCCTTACAATTAGTATTCTCTCTTAAATATAATACTTTGCCATGTTAAGCAAGTTAGAAACATCAAAACTGTTTCCAAATAATCAGTCACTACTGAATTCACTTGGATACTTAAACTGATATGCTACATTTGATCACTCTAAGTCAAATCCTGCCTCCACTAATGCCAACTGCAAAAGTCTCATTAACTTCAGCTGTCCCTAAAATTTTAAAATACAAGCCATACTAAATACGATTAATAATAAAATCTAGAATTTTAAAACCATTATCCCTAAAGTAAGGATATTTTATTTTAAAGATTTACTGACAAGTTTTTCCCCTCTTCTGATCATTTGACTGGAATACATGCAAGGCTGACAAGTCAGCGATATGGTTACAAACAAAAACCCAAGAAAGAGAAACAGTCAGGAGGAGAATTGGACAAGACAATCCATGGGCAGATGCAACATAAACCTCATGCTGAAAGGAAATAACAGTAAAATGCATTCAAACATTTTCAAATGCAGCTGCATACAGCACCATTTGTAACAGAGACAGTGCCAGTATTTGGAAACTAGAAAAAAGTATGATTGTGCAATTAATACACAAAACTAAGTAGAGGGATTTTGAAGTAGAGGCAAGAATAGTACCCAAATTCCCTGTGCAATTTACCAAGTAATTTTTTTTCATGTTTAAATATAACTTACCAGCATTCCTCTAATTAAAAAGTGTAGTCTTTTTAAAAAAAAAAAAAAACTTACCAGGAATAATCAGAAATAAGAGCCTGGGGAGATCTGTACTTTCACCATTCAAGAGGTCTCTCCAGGGCCCACACTTCAGGACCTGAGTAGCGGCTCCACAACAGTATATGAATTCTTCATGCAGAGGAATCTGGTCTTCAGAGACCGGTCTCATGCTTGCTGCTAAACAGATAAAGATATTGTTACAACTGAACAGTCAGTATCAATGTATAAGCAGCACCCTTACATTATGCACTTCATCATTAAAGCATAAATAACTGAAGAAACACAGTTCCCATTTCCACTGGTGAATTAAACAAAGGTCTGATTCAGTAGGTGATACTTTACATCCACTAACTCAGGACGCTGGGTGGCATATGTTCTAGGGCTTGACAGAAATGTATGTGGACGTATCAGGCCAAAGCACACTACAATCATTCCACCTACTATGCTTCTTGCATAATCTTGTCCTCAAACTGGGAAGGGAACTTGACAAAGGCAAAAACCCCAGCATTACATATTCACAAAGTGCATACTCAGTCCAATAATGAAAGCAAAATGTTTCCAATGAAGCAGGATATTCCTGTTCCTCTGCTTTAACAGGACGCTTAACTGCAAACTACATTTTCAACACAATGAATACAAGCGATGCCCATACGTACACGCCTACATGCCACCAGACCTTTTTGAAGGGTGCCTTGAGATGTGAGGAGATGAGAGGTGTTAAAAGATAAGCAGATAAATCAAGCATGTAAACACAGGCTCAGGCTTGTCTCTGCCTGAACAGTCCCCCACTCCCACTGTGAGGCCCCTCTGCAAGGCGCAAGCACCACACTCTATAAATTAGTTTTTGTAATTAGGCACCACTCAATTTACAAGTTATGGAGGGGGACCTCAAGTCCAAAAAGGATGAGAACCACTGCCTTAGCCACTGAATGCCAATGTCTCTCATTCCTTGTGTTCTCACCGCCTTAAGTTGTCCCAGAATATTTATAAGTCTGTTATCTAGAGCTATAAAGACTTAAACAAATTGTGTATGTGCAACTTTCAATTTAAAACTGAATATCAATGTTTCCTGAAATCATAGTCTAAATACATTGTTTATGTTATTACATAGTATTACAGATATATGGAAGGAAAAAAAGAGCCACACAAAACACATTCAAGTGACATCTTTAATTCAGAGACTGTTGCTTGTCCTCTTTCACTCATCATGTTCATGACAAGCAACATATTTAGAAACTGCTAATGTCCAACTGGATGTCACATGTGTTGGTAGGACCTGTTTTTCCACCCCCCTTCTATACCTTCCTAAGCATCACAGTGTTAGGCAAAAAGTTTGCATGTACATCTGCTAGCTAGTTATGAATTAAAATGTCATCAAGATAAACTATGAGACAGCCTTGAGCATTTGCCAAATGAATCATTTATCAAAGGGTAGCAGGTGCATTTTTCAAACTAAGACTTGGCAAGTCATAATCCTGGCCTTGGTTTTTTTAATATCATTACATGCAAGTGATCCTTGCATCATCACTTAGGGCTATATCTAATCCTAGGTGCCTACATATTAGGTGCTGCAACTCCTAATTCCTAAGTGGAGAGTTGGGTGCCTATGTTCCCTATAGAATAAATGGACAGTTAAGTGCCTCCAAAGGACAACTGAAAAAAGAAAGCTAGACACTGAAGAGGAATCCACTTAAATAGATCCACCTAAGACTCCAATAGGAAATGTTCAGGAGTCTTCTAACCTCCCATCCCTTTTGCCCCACAATCACTTGGATGCAAGGCTTAACCTAAAGTAAACACTTAGAGAATTACGAATTAAGAAGAAATTGCAGTTTTCACTACAAATAATGTATGAATCGCATTAAGCCTCTTTGACACTAAACACGTCAATAAATTCATTTTTTTTAAATGAAGTGATGCTCAATTCACAAGTTAGAGAAGATCCCCATTGAGAACCACTGGCTTAAATAAAATGCACTTGTGATGCCATTCAGGCATTTGAAGTAATTGGATGGAGGATCTCCAGTGGGTATTTACTGTGTAACAAATAAAGGAAGATGCTCATTGATACCGAACGTAACCAAGATAGTAAAATGATCTATACATAGCAAGAGCCAGAGATTTTGCAAAGGAATTATAGCATAGCCTGGAGGTTTCTCAGAAAGAGAAGCCTGAAAAATGACCTGTAGTCAAAAGATTAAAATATTTGTAGGAGAAATCTGCTCTGGTCTGAGCACACTTGGATTGATGAGGTGATCTGCAGTTTGTATAAAATGGGCCACAAAATTTTCCGGGAACAGGGAGAAATGAGAAAAGTTATGGTGAACTTGAAACTTGCTAAGGAAGATGAGCTGCAGCAAGGGTTTAAGGAGCTAAACTATGAGCTCAGAAGGAAATCAAAGGGGCTCAGACCACAGTGCAAATCAGGTGCCTAGATGAAGCACTGAGCCAACCAGAGAATTTGGGCAAAACTGAACGTTTATAACAGTTTTCTAACCCATTTGTAACCCAGAGGCCCAGGACAGCTATTCCAGCTCAAATAAGGGTCACTATGTCTAAGGAGCACACACACCAGGACAAAACTGCAATGGACCAATTTACAGACACCCAGCTGGGCTTCCAGATCCAGATGAGCCAAGACCAAAGAGAGAGCTAAGTCTTCTAAGAGACTGTAGCAAAGAATGAAGATCAGGCCCACCGTTTCCATTTTAGTCTATTTATGAAACAGCAACGGTTCTGATATCATGTTGGTTAAGTTCTAACTAACAAATTATTCCCAGATGAATTACATGCATCTGAAAAGGCACCAAGGAGACAGGATTTCAACATGGCTGTTCCACAAAATTGGGAATATAGGTATAGAAACTAAGGCTAGAAAATGACTGAGTTCTCCATTCAAACAAAATGGGTAGTCTGTGGCCCCTTGTTCATGTTATCTTACATTTATGCCATGACTAACATATTAATACGTGCACCTGCACCCAATTTAAGGTGCCATAAAATGGAATAAGAACCATAAAATGTTCCATACATAATGGAAAACATTTTTAAGGCACCATACAAACCAGCCATAAAGTTAACAGTGTAGCCAGGGCTGACAATCAGCTGATTGTCAAACCCAGCCACAGGCTGTTGAAGGGAAGGGGGAGAAGGAGAGGAATGAAAGGTATTGTTCTAGGTTTAATTAAACCTCACTGAAAGCAAAGGCATAGTCAAAATACTGGGAACAGTTTAAACCCCTGGAAATAGCTAAAACAAAGCTTTGTATTGAAATCAGGACAGGAACAGAGCTTGAAACTGAAACCGTGAGTGCAAAGTCTCTTGCTGCTTGTTGTTTGATT